GGGGGAGGCCAGGAGGGAAACATGGTGCCGCCCAGGGGGACAAGGCAGGAGGGGCCATGGTCCACGGGAGGCACCACACGGACACACAAAAAGGCACACTATTCGGCTCAGTAGGATTCCATCTCCTCCTCGGGCCCGGCATTGGCGGGCTCCAGGAGCGGCGTCGACGTCGGCACCGGCGCCGGCTGCTGGCCGGCAGGCCGGCCGGGCGCCATCTCCGGGAAGGGAACCGGCACCAGCGAGGAATACATCCCGGCGAAGAGCTCCCGGCAGGCGCGGATCTGTTCCTCGAGCGCATGCACGCGGGCCATGACGTGTGTCCGGTCGGGGCGGATGACCCCCGGCGACCCGGGGGCCAGCATGAGATCCAATGACGGCGCAGGGGCCTCTGGCCCGGCCGGGGCGCCGGCCTCGGCGCGCGGGCCATTGCCAAGCCCGGCCGGCCGGCTGGGCGAACCGGGCCCCGGGTCCAGGGCCGCGCCGGAGGCCACCCCGTCCGTGGCAATGAGGTTCGACTCTCGCAGGCGCTCTTGGAGGGCCCCCGGCCGAGGGGCAGCAGCAGTAGCAGCAGCAGCAGCAGCAGCAGGGTGGCGAGGTGTCAGATGTGGCTGGCAGACAGAGGGAATGGGACATGCGCATCGGGCCGGGATGCCGCCACTCGCACGTACCGGCAACCGCAGGCGGGGAAATGAGCAGGGCAAGCCCCGGGGCCAGGCGCCCGGGCGTCGGCGACGCGGGCCCGGCCCCGGCGGTTCCTGGCTGGCGGATGCTGCCCGGCGTTCGGGGATGGTGCCCCGCTGGGCTGGCCACCAGGCGGATGCTGGCGGCCGCCGGCGTCCCAGCAGCCGGCGGAGTCACCCCGGGGGCCGGGCGCCGAGAGCCGGGCGAGCGGACCGGCGTCGATGGTCCCGGGTCGCGGCTGGCCGTCAAAACCTGAAGCTCATGCTTGGTGTCTGGGCGCGCATGCGCGCATGCGTGCAGATATACCCATGTGCGGATGCATGATCAGTGCACGGAGCGAAGGCAACGCGCATGCGCGCGCGCGCGCGCGATTGTGTGTGTGTGTGTGTGTGTGTGTGTGTGTGTGTGTGTGTGTGTGTGTGCGGACACCCGCATGAGCCAGCGCATTTCGCATGACGGACACAGGCGCAGACCATGGCCACAGCAGCACCGGCAAAGGGAGGAAAACAGGACAGCATGGAGCACCAAAGGTCAGACAAAGCCCCCAGCGACAGAAGGCCCGGCGAGACATGCATGCGGGCCACCCGGCCAGGGGAGGGCCGCCATGGGGCCAAACGCACCGCGCAAGTCCTCGCGCAGGTGTTGGATCAGGGCCGCCTGCTCGATCTTCTCGTTTTCCAGCAGGACATTGTGCTCCATGATCTGCGTGAACCTGGCCTCCAGGTCGGCCAGCGACGCGGAAACCACACTGCCCGCCAGACCGGCAGCACATGGAAGAGGCAGGGGAGGCGCCCACGCCGGCCAGCCACAGGCAAGTCGACAGGTCAGCAGGAGGGCCAGCAAGGCGGACGCCCTTCCGGGAACCGGGGAACACAAAAGCCCCCAAGAGGAGGGCAAAACGGCCGGACGCACCGCTGCGACCGCTCGAAGTCGTCGTTCAATTGCTCGAGCTCGCGCACCCGGTCGCGCAGCCGGTCGCGCTCGGCTTCGGCCCCGCGCCACATGTCCTCCACCTCGAGGACGCGGGTGCGCGAGCGCCCGCGCAACTCCACCAGCGCCGCGGTCAGGTCTCGCACGGTGTCCTCCGCCTGCTGGGTCCGGGCGTCCGCGTCCTCCAGGGCCCCCTCCAGGGCGCCCTCCAACGAGCGGCTCTCGCTCCGGAAGAAGTAGAACGCCTGGCGGGTGTCCTGGATCAGCTGGTGGCACTCGGCCACCGTGGCCGGCAGCAGCTCGCTGTCGAGGATGTCG